GAGCAAGCCAGGTGTCGGTTGTCCAGCAAATGGCAAACTTCACTGCGTCGCACCACAATGAATTACGGGCTGCAGAAATAAAAGCACCTGCAAATATGTAGTTCTGTTGTTTACATCGCCATGGCCACTGCCAAAGCATCCATGAGGTACACAGTATTGCACACTGATAAGCAGATATGTGAATGCGTGTCACTTCTCCCTGCCCAGACTGGCTTCCAAATGAACATGAATTGGGAAGATGTCACATACCTCTCCCTGCACCGGAAAAGGAAATAAGCTTTTCTTCCTGTTATCCCATATCCTGTTAGCAAGATGTGTCCAGGACATTTATTAACAAGTAGGATACAAGTGAGAATATGATAACAAATAATTTATGTGGGAGGTCCTTTACATCTAGTCTAGCTTCCTAACTATGGTGGCATTTATTTTTATGTCAATTTCCAGTGTGTCAAAGTCTAGGATTCCTCCATGCCTGCTTCATTAAGTGAGCAGTTTTAAAGTTGTGGAAGTGTAAGCAATGGACATCCAACATATTATACTTCAGAGTATTCCCCTACTATATTTTAGAACATTCTGCTTGCCCAAACCAGTCCAGGTAAATCTCAGATACACTCACACAAATGGAATGTTTTAGGTCCTTGATCATCAGCACTAAAGAGTTGGGATATTTTGATATGTGGCCATGTTAAACCATTGCCTTAAAATGTTGCTTTTGTATTTAATTGCTCCAGGTCTTCCTCTTTTTCATTGCTTTCGTCCAACATGTTTGAAAGAATTAGAAACCAACTACTGGAGAAAGAAAATCAATCACTCTCATTTGACTCCTGTTGGGACTGCTCCCTAAAAAGGTGACTTTTTTTCTTTTTATTTCTGAGAAGATTCTTCATATCTAGGCTGTGGAGACCGGAAACGAGGCCAGTTTTAGCTCCAAGTGGACAGTTCACTTATGCGATATCTGGCTTGAGATAATGAAAGGCACCTGTAAGGAAACACACGGAGCTTTTTAGGTTATGCTGAGACAATTCACCATCAGAAGTAACATCAGCTACAGGCTGACAATGTCATATTTAATACCATGCTATCAAAGGATGAAGACTAATATTTTTATTCCTAAAACAAGTTTGACACAGGGAGCTTTTTAGGTTATGCTGAGACAATTCACCATCAGAAGTAACATCAGCTACAGGCTGACGATGTCATATTTAATACCATGCTATCAAAGGATGAAGACTAATATTTTTATTCCTAAAACAAGTTTGACACAACTCTGTGTCACTGGGATTATACCCTATATAATCCTTAAAAGCTGACCTCATTAAGAACATGTGTTTCTAATGCTAGAGGTTGTTTCATTTTGGCCAACCCTTGTGTTTCACTTAGAGGCAATCAGTTTTCACGTCTCAGCAATTAATGACTGCAAGATGTTGTTGACATCAGTTAAGAAAATAATTATATAAGGGAGACCTTGCTGGAACAATTAGCTGGCTTGGCCACAATAGTAATGCTGGGATGTAAGGCTTAATCGTGCTTTTTACTCTCCTTTCTGAAGCAAGAGTAGAATTTATCTTTTTTCCAAAACTAATTGTCCCCTAGAAAGTCCAAGGCTTACTTTGTCCGTACTGCCCATATTGGTAGCCTGTAACAGGGTCCATACTGTAGCCCGTGGTGCTATAGGTAGGTGGACAATATGACTGAGATGTTGGCAGACTATCCAAGCTCTTCATATGGTCTAGTCTCTGACTGCAGCTGGCCGACACCGTGGTGGTAGGTTCGAGGCCCCCAGTGAGAGGAGAGAGCGCATAATCGGTCTGGGGCTGATGAGGTACCCCACCATGGTTGGTCAGGAGTCCCATTACCTAAAATAAACAGGCAAATTGGGAATAAGTTAAAATGCAGGGAGGACCAGATCATAGCCAAAGCTGAAAGAATAACTTGAAAGTCCAATTTTTTCTTTGGTAATCTATTAAAGAGCTGTCCAGAAGACTGTGACCTCAATTCAAGGTGGCAGAGATATTACATCATGCCCCATGATAACATCTGACTGCAGTTTCAGAAAAGGGAAAGGGGAAGGGAAAAGAAAAGGAAGAGGAGGAGGAAGAGAGAGAGGGGGAGAGATTACACTATGTCCCCAGTGATAAAATCAGACTGGAATTCCAAAGGAGGGAAAAAACGGGATGGAGAGAGGGAGAAATTATTTCTGTTCCTATAGAAAAATGTCTCATCATATATTACATCTAAAAGTTTCACAGGTGATTTTAAACAGGCATTCACTTATATAAAAAAAAATGTGAAATGAATTCAAGTCTTTTTTTTCCATGTATTTTGAGAACTCTGCCTTTTTTCAGTGTTCCCTCTCATGAAAGCTCCTCATCTCGCCCGTCCTTCAGTTACTAGAAATAATTACTCCCTCCCTGATATTCATCTGTGCTACTTGTTCCTCCCACTACATAACCATTAATTTGGCACCTACTTTGACTTGTGGAAGCTATGAGAGGAGTCACTTACTCGTTTTTATATCTCAGCACCTAAAACAGCACTTGGCACAAATTAGATGTTGAATGAATGAATGAATGAATGATAAAAGATTCTCCAAATAACTCTCTCTATTACCTGTCCTTTCATTTCTTCTCTAAATCAACATTTTATACAGAAGAAACATTAAAAGGAAACACAAGCCTAAATGCAAACATGTTCTAAAAAGTTCTGTTTGGTAAATAACCCTAGAGAATAAGAAAACTTTAAAAGGATCCTATATAGGCATGGCCGGTGCGCTCACTGGCTAAGCGCAGTGCGGGCGACACCAAGCCAAGGGTTGTGATCCCCTTACCGGTCACAAAACAGGACAAAAAAAAAAGAAAAAGAAAACTTAAAAAAAAGAAAAGATAACAGAACTTTCAGATCAGCATGGTGAAGTGTTTCACAAACTAAGCTCATTGACCTTTACAGCATCTCATGATGGAAGTAAGTGGATAATTAATTTTGCAGCTGGAAAACTGCCACACAAGAAAGGAAGTGTTTTTTCTCAACCTCCATTCCGTAGCAGGGATCAAAAACAATCACAGAAGAAATCTACTGCAGGGTGAAGAGCCCCCAGAAAACACACCTATTTGCACAGTATTTAAATGCAGTGTCCTGCAGTTGCACAATATTTCAGTAATAGCCCTGTTTTCTTTTAGGAAACTTGAAGCTATGGAGATGAAAGTGTA